CTAAACTTAATAAATAATCAGTGCGCATACTTGACATCTCTCTATTTTCTTACAAATGCGAACATCATTTAACTGTTAATAAAAAAAAAATAGGTACGTATATTAAAACAGTAACATTTGTATTTATGTAAGTGTGAACAATGCGATAATCTATTTTTAATTCTTGCCTATTTCTAATGATTAATTATTTTCATTTTATTTATTTATTTTACCTACGTACGTGCTTACCAATGTTGCGTGACTAGTAAGTGCTTATTACGTAACGGTAACTGTGCAGTGTTACCATTGATAGACCGCAGTCCATTATACGTGCCTGATCGCATAACAGTTATGGTATGCAACAAAATTCTTTTGCCAAGAAACGTATAATTGGATAATAATTAGACGAATGCAATGTGACTGCAATCTAAAGATATTTTACAAATCGAAATAAGCGACTGAACGGTATGTACTGTACAAATTAGCGTAATTTAATAAAACTTTTTGTACTAAGAATTTAATCGGCAAAACCCATAAATGTGCATGTTGTTGATTCCTTTTTCCAGATCGTCATTCATGAAAATGGATTTTCTGGAACAGATCATTGATTTCCTGATGAATTTTCTGATAAAAATAAAATCCGGTAATAGCGTATCAAAGATAGAACTCGGTATTATATTATTATTATGAAATCATATTTTTTTCTTCTTTAGAGGATCGAACTACATTCTTAATAAATTCATTATGGTAGTTCACATAGCTAATAAAGTTTTTGACTATTATGTATAGTTTTTTTCGATATTGGATGCCTGCGATAACCGTGATTTGTGCTCCCAGGCTTATGTGAACAGTTAAGTTATTGGCATTTAAATTATTGAAAGTTTGCTGATAAGTTACTTATACTGTATCAGCCAATTTACAGATATATCGACTCAACAAATGCGCATAAAAACTAAAATAAAAACTGTAATGTAACAAAAACAACAGGAATTCGTTGGGGACACTTCAAGAAAGATGAACCCAGTGATCATCACATATCGTGAAATCTTGCAATTACGTCATTTGCTTACTAGCACTACCGATATCGGCCGAATGATTTATCATGTGATGGGATTATCACTGGGTTTACTGTTCTTGAAACTACCCATTCGTTGTATTCAAAAAATTTATTGACATGTGAATATATTTTCACCGCTGAAACGCCTTTTTGCCATCCATTACACAAATGAGGTGAGATTAGTTTTTCTTTATCTGTCATACTTCATTTGTAAATAATTATTGTCACAATTTTTTGTGTACAATTATATATACTGTTTGATTGTTATATTTTACATGATCTTCATTTATTTATAATTAAACACCCCTTGTGTGTAATTATTTACAGTTTTCATAAAAAAGAGTATTGGCGAACAGCGAAATTCACGCACTAATAAATTCAATAAATCCAATTATGGATTTTGGTTTCTGTACCTTCGTGTAATAATCATAGGTGAAGTCTTAAGTATACATTATTGGGCAAAAATTTGTGAATAACGGCAATTTGGCTCAACCGGGCAAATGATTGGCTGACAAGTGCACGTGTCAAATAATCATTTGTCCGGTTGAGCCAAATTGCCGTTATAATGTATACATATATATAAATCCCCTAAAAAAATAATAGCGTATATTAAATGCGCAATTTTATTATTCAACAAGTCAATAATTAGACAAAAACTATTTAAACAAAGTAAACTTTGTACATAATTAGGGAAGTGTCATTTATTAGCTGATTTTTTGTAAATAGTAAAATTTCCCACCTCCCTCAAAAGATTACGATTATATATAGGCATATATATATGTGATCTATCGGCATGATATTTTAGCACCCTCCCCCCTGCTAAAAAATCAGATAATAAATGACACATCTCTTATTATTTGGAAAATTGTCAAAAATCGAATACATTCTGAACATTTTTTCGAACAAAAACTGAACGCACAACTAAATAATTTTAGAATATTTGTTAAACAAGCTTTTTATAGGTCCAAAATGGTACAAAAGATTAGTTTTCCTTAATTGATAATTTATCTCCTATAATTTACTTTTTTTGTCACTAAATAAATGAAATCCGATACTAGTGAAATTATGATATTTCGTCCCGACCTGCCAACTTTTTATAACAATAAACAGAACTATAACTATCGTGTCTAGAGATTAGATGGAGGCAGGATGAATCTCCGTTCCTCCTAAACAGATCTACAAATTAAAACTACTATGCAATCACATACCTGCAATGCACATAGATTTAGAAACCCTACACCTTTATCATTAGAGACAAAAATAAAAGTTATTTTGATTTCGTTCTAATTAAGTTGAACCGATATTTTAAATTAGTTAAAAATTTTAGGATTAACTTAAAGCTAATTCTGAATTAACATATTTAGTTTCTAAATTTAAAAACTTTTTAATTCATTAATTAACGTTTATATTACAAAAGTTGTTTGTATATTCGGATACAATACATATATCTAGAATAAAGTTTCTTTATACTTGGAAGAATTTAACTGTTTCAATTACTATAGGCACTTCTATATTTTTTGTTGCCAATTTGTGCATTGATTATGTTTGACATTTTTGCCATTTTGTCATTCGAGTGATGATTCGCCAATTGGGTAACAAAGTGCATCTATCATATGAGCGTTTGATGTGACCATTGTGACACATCGCGCGCAACACCCCTTGAATACTCGGGATTTGTTAATAAGCAAACTCGGGAAGCACGGCATCCACTTATCTGCGCGATTTTTTTGATTTAAAAATGATTTACAAATGATTTAAATCATTGGTTCTTATTACGTAATCAAATTATTTTATATTCAAATTGACATTGAATGCGGCTTTCAAATCCACAGAATCTCCCGATGTTTACATCCTACAAGGTTACTAAAACACATACTAAATGATTTAAATCTGCTTTAAATTGATTTAAAATAAAATCAGTGATTTATATCATCGTGATTTAAATCACATGCCATCCCTATACAAACCTCTAAAAAGGAAATACATAGATTCCGAACACGTACGAAAGAAAAAAGAAAGAATAACGGGGATGAAATTTTACATATTAAAAACTCCAACTTATCGCTAAATCTCACAACCAGTGATGTAAATTGGATCGGCGCAGTAGGCGCAGCGCACATAGATTTAAATTTGCGCATATATCAGTGCTCTCCGTATATATAACGCGCGTATAAATTTTTCTTTGTGCATATTTTTTTTGCATTTGCGCCAATAAAAATTTTTTGAATTTATAACACTGCTCACAACCCTAACATCCTAATCTTAAACTTCTATTTATTTACAAAATTTGGTTTCCTTTTTTGGTTTGTGTTACCCGGATGTGAAATCAATGGGTATGCTATTTCTCAATAACGGTTTTAGTATATAGTGTTTTGTGTATTAAGTAAAAAGTACACCTAAAAAACCCTAACTTCAATATAGACCCCTAAAGATTTAAATTTGAGATGAAATTTTCTAGGTTTATATTTAAAAACATATGGTGATTTCACCTTAGGTGAATTATAAATAAACTCTATATTTAAATTTAATGAATGACTAAGATTTTAAAATTTTGCGTATTTTACAAACAAAAACTAAAAAAAAACGTCACGATGTGTAACATTTCACATAAAACACGTTTACGGCATTTTTCAAGAAAAGTATCACTCCTTTTTATGCGATTTATTTATTTTCGCGAGTAATATAAACCAAAAAAGGAAATTCAATTTTGTAAATAAACTAAGTGCGTAAAAATTAGAAGTTTAGGATTAGGACGTTAGGATTGTGAGCTTTAAGTTGGAGTTTATTATATGTAAAATTTCATCCCCGTTATTTTTCATTAGTTAATCAAGGTCGATTTAAACTCTAGTTTTTGAGTATTTTCGGTTTTTTTTCTTTTTTCTTCTTTCGCGCGTGTTCTTTATCGGGCTGAACCGGGATAGTCAAAATCTGTGCTCTCTGATTGGCCATCTCCTTTTAGGAGTTTGCATTACTCACTAAAATAAGTGGCTGCCTTTTTATGTACTCCTGTAATACAATGCTCGTACAAGTGATATTTTTTCATATTTTATCATTAACAAATATCATTCGATAGAATGAAGTCATATATTGCTTTAAATGTTTATATCATTATATATTAATTACTGTTATTTATATCATTAAAAATAGCAATATATCATTATATATTACTGTTATTTATATCATTAAAAATAGCAATATATCGAGTGTGTAGCATTTCGTTTGAGTTCAATCTTTCAACTTGATATATATAAGTAATTATATAATTTATTTTAATATTCTAATGAATGATATTTATGTGCATAAAATTTAGACTACAATTTATTAGAATTTAATCAATTCCATCACCCTTGAAATTCCAAAACTTTTCAAATTCATCTAAGTAAAACCATTTTAGTAATGTTATAATAATTTAGGATAAAGCTAAATGATTGTATATATATTTAATCTGCTCATAAATTATGTGCAAAGCTTTTTTTTTCCTGACCTTGTGACATAACTATACATCATCTACAGATCTACGACTATGCATGTTATATATATATGCTACTTGAACCTTTGTAAAAATTTTGTCCTGCGGAAAAAAAAGAAGATAAACGATAAATTATTGTTTTGAAAAAAAAATAAATTTTAGAAAAATAGCTTTTCGAAATAAGTTATTTATTAGTATTCAAGTGGTCGAAATCATTTACGATAATTTATTAAAAAATTAAGGTTCAGGTCCACTATAGAGATTCGTTTAAGGAGTGTTGATTGTATGTATTATAAAATAAAATACTGCCTTTTCTATAAGTCATCCATGCTACATTCTTATTTTGCAGTATTTGTGTTATTTTTTTAGAGAATCATCAGTTTTATCCCCAGTCCAAAACTTGTTAGTGGAAAGTAGAATAATGAAAGGAAAAAGAAACCCACGAATCTATCAATTTTGCCCCCAGTCCAAAACTTGCCAGTAGAAAGTAGAATAATGAAAAGAAAAAGAAATACTCGATCTTGTAATTCCTGCCGTGCTAAAAAAAAAGGGTGTTCTGGCGGTGAAAACGGTGTAAGTTCGTGCAAACTTTGCCGCGATAAAAGAATAGATTGTTCTTACGTAAAAGAAATAGGACTTTTAGGAGGTGAGTAATACTCGTAAAATTTTTTAAGACAAAAAATTACTCTTGCGGAAAAATATTTGTTGCTTTGTCGTTAAGGCTGCACTCAAATGAGTGACGTATGGAAGACAGCATATAAATTTTATATATCATATGGCTTTCCAAATGTTTACATCTAATGAAGCTGTCAATTACTCCTGTGGAAAAACGATCTGATGCTGTCATTATTAAGATTTGAATGACATATGGGAGTCAACATACAAATTTTATATATCCCTTGGCCTTCCAAAATGTTTACATCTAAAGTAGCTGTCAATTACTCCTGTGAAAAAATGATCTGATGATGTTGTTGTTAAGATTGCATTCAAGTGAGTGACATATGGAAGTCGGAATACAAATTTTATACATCCCCTGGCCTTCCAAAATGTTTACATCTAAAGAAACTGTCAATTTCTCCTGTGGAAAAACGATCTGGTTAAGCTGTCGCTATTGCTCCTTATGCCTATGAACAATGATGAATCACCATTGACGCTGCCAAAAAAGGATATGTTGAATATCTACTAATTATTGCTAGTTTTACTTGCCAAATGATCTTCTGGCTGGCAAAGTGTTATCAGTAGCCATTAACGAAATAAAAGTCTGAAGCAAATATTTCAATAGCTCAGTGTAGTATGCCTATCTGCAAAAATTCTATGTTGACGTAAAGCTTCCTATCTTTTAACATATATATAGGTTATTGTGAAAATCATCCAGGAGCTGAAAATGCAAATGATAATATTTCATATTTACAAAACATTCCTAACGAATTACTACCAAATTGTAACATTCTATATCCGCAAAACGGTTTTATTGATTCTGATGGATCATCTGAATATCACGGGTTTGGAAATCTGGCCAACAGTTCCCACAACACTTCACAAACGAACATGCCTCAAGGTAGGTAAAAATATTAATTAATGAATACTGGTTTCATGAGTTGCAGAAGCATCTAGCCATTGTCATTGACAGCAATTGAAACAATTGGTGGTTAATATTTTTTTTCTATTGTGAAATATTAATTAAATTAAATATCATGATTACCATTTTTATACTACACATAGAAAATCTGAATAGCGCACGTCTAATTAAAGAATGTTTAAAGCATGGTATGGTGAATAAAATATCAATTCTTTATTACGTATAATACATTCTACTCACCTTAAATATTTCACCTTAAATATTTTTTATCAATATCTTAATAATTTATTTATAGGTTCCAAAATTGTTCATCATTTAACTGATTTAGTTCTACTAGGTAAACTCTGTTCTAGTGCTCGAAAGCATAATTTATGAAACACTATAAGTTGTTATAATTTTAAATACTACATTAATACAGAACACCAATATCCACAATCTTTAACATCACCAACATTAAATGGTAAGATTATGTTTATGATAAGATGTATTTATAGTAATCCGTTGCGTTTTTCAACTTAAATTCCATATATTTATATTTTTCATTATTCCAATTTATAAACAGAAAATCTTAAGAATCTTCTGATAACCTTACAGTCAGAATCTTCTCAGATTGAAAAAATAGCTACCGAGCAAACTAACAACCTAGAATCATCCCCGTTGGACCAATTTTCTAGTAAGTAATCTAACAATTTTTGGTAGTCAAAATTATTGCTTTTACAAGCAATTTAGCCTAAAGCTTGAAACCGAATTTATTTTTCATATGTTAAACCCGATTAAAATCGGTTCTAACTTATGAAAATAACCGGCTCCAAACCTTAATTTAACCCAACATCCATAACTGAACAGAGAATGATGCAT